GTTCTTTACATCTTATTAATGTAACAGACACATTACTTAAAACATTAGATTATAAGTCTAACTAAACATGCAACATTTCCTGTCCCCTCCCGGTGAACTAAGTGTGAAAGGACATTAACAGGGTGTCCTTAAAGTCTTAAAATGTCTTATTAATTATTTTTGGTCTCATTACCACTAAAATATCTTAAGTCTGACGCTAATAAAATGTGTATTTCCATTACAGGTTTAGGTCTTAAATTTCATATAAGGTGGTATTAAAAAGGTCTTAAAGTCTTAAATTTAACTTGTTCATGTCTGCAGAAACCCTGATTAAGTAGTCCTGAAAGCGAACAGGCCAAGTCTGTGATCTGGTAGGCCTGCCTTGCGATGCTGCAGATGGTGGTAGGGTTGTTGTTTGCAGAGTCACTGGATGCTGTGCTGGGATCAGAGGGCATGGGAGCACAGCGTCCCGGATGTGATCTGCACCAGAAGGACACAGTACTTTCCTAAGTCAACTGGCATGTGGGAACCAACGGGAACCATCCGATTGCTGGAATGTAACTGGACCTAACTGCTTTTGTACCTGCTGGGGCTGCGACCAGAAAGTGTGGAGCTTGTTTTTTTGGTATAGCCGCTGAACCTGCACCCAGTCCAGTGGGGAGATCCTGGGAATCTGGAATTTTTTCTTTGCATTGAATCTGTTCTGTGCTTTGAGCTGTTGTCAACGTACCCTGGATTTCACCACAGGGTTTCCACCGTGAGATGTAGGAGGGCAAAATCTGTGCAGGGGTAACTCCAGCTCTCGCCCCAGGATCAGTTTTGCTGGTGACACCCCAGTGGTGGCATGCTGAGCTGCTCTGTAGTGTAGAAGAGTCTGAGACAAGGCCTCCTTGAAAGAGCAGCCTTGTGCCAAGTGGGCTCTCAGACCATTTTTCAGCGATTGATTGAATCTCTCTATGCCCCCATTTGACTGTGGACGACAGTAAGCTGTTCGTATGTATTTGATCCCTTTGCTTTGGATGTAGCTGGTATACTCAGCAGACACTAGTTGAGGGCCATTGTCTGTCGTCAAGGTCCTTGGCAGGCCCCAGCGGGCAAAGAGCAACTCCATAAAATCAAAGATGGAGCTGAATGTGACATAGCCCACAGATGTTACCTACGGCTACTTCGATTGTAGATCATAAACTACTACAAGGAAACGCAAATGATGGGGCACGTCGTGGAGTTCACTGCAGATATCCAGCTGAATGTAGTCCCAAGGTCGAGTTGGCCAAGGTAAAGACCCCAGTGGTGGCGGAATTTGTGGGCCTGTTTTCCCGCTTACGAGACATGGAGCACAGTCCCGAACAAGCTGTTTTATGTCTTTGTCCAACCCTGGCCACCATACAAGATCCCTAGAGCGCTGCTTTAGTTCAACTATGACAAGATGGTCCTCATACACCATGGCCAGCACTCGTTCTCTGAGTTTAGCAGGGATAATGGCACAGTGTCCACGTGCCAAGCATGTGTCATTCCAGCATGACAATTCATGTTTCACTTGGGCATACGGCTGGATATCTTTTGTAATTTGAGCTGGACAGCCATTCAGGACATACTCACAGACAGCAGAGAGCGTGGAATCAGCTGATGACTCCTCTGTGAGTTCCTTCAAGGACGAAAGCTGTTAGGGGTGCATGCACTAGTTGAATAAGGTCCTTGTCCTCAGCCACCTGACAGGGGGCAATGGGTGGTGACAGAACGGGTCAGCAAATCAGCCACTACATTATCTCTACCTGAGGTGTACTGTATTGTAAAGTAATACTGCTGGAGACTGTCTCCAGCGGTACATGCGCAGTGGTTTGTGGCCAGACCCAGAAGGAGACATAAGTGCACTGAGGGCTTGGTGGTCAGTTCGAAGGGTGAATTTTTGGTCATAAAAGGTAGGCATGCCATCGCTCGCAGGCCCACACGCAAGCCAGAGCCTCCCTCTCTCCAGTTGAGTACTTTTGTTCCATCAAACTTAATGTACGAGAAGCAAAAGCCACAGGCCGTTCGATGCCATTCTGGAGTTGTAAAAGAACAAAGCCAGCAGCAGTAGCTAAAGCATCAAAATTGACCAATGTGGGGCAGTAAAGACTGAAGTGTGCCAAGACAGGGTGGCTTGTCAACTGTTCCTTAAGTGTGTGCACATCATCGGAACAAACTGAAGACCAGGTCCAAGGAGCATTCTTTTTGAGCAGCTGGTGGAGAGGTTACGTGATCATGGAATACTGAGGTAGAAAATGCATATAGTATGTTGTCATCCCCAGAAACGATGCAACTTGTGATGCAGACGAAGGCTCTGGCACCTGATGTATAGCCTCAATATTGGAGTGTAATGGCGAAAGGCCCTTGGCTGAAACACGAAAGCCAACAGAGTCAACCTCTGGTACTGCAAATAAGCATTTCTCCATGTTAAGTGTCAAATTATGTTGACTGAGTGCAGCAAAAGTGGCCCTTAAGCGCCGTTCGTGAATCAATGCATTCAGGGCATGGACAATGATGTCATCAAGGTAGATGGCAGTGCCAGGGACACCAGCCAGTATGATTTTTGGAAACAGCTAGGGGCCAAGCGGAGTCCAAAAGGCATACTTGTGTAATATTGGAATATATGGAATATGCCATAATGTGTAACGAATGCAGTAAGATTTCTGCTGTCTGGGTGGATGGGAACCTGGGGATAGCCTTGGTGGAGGTCAAGTTTGGAAATTGTTGAGCTGTGAAAGTGTGCAGTCAGTTCTTCGATTGATGGCAGAGGGTGGCGATCTGGGATTACTCCTTTGTTGATGGACCTTAAGTCCACACAAACTCTCAGTCCGCCAGATTTTTTCTTAGCCACTGTCAAATTAGACACCCATGGGGAGGCGTCAACAGGTTTGATGATGCCCTCTGCTTGCAATTTGCCAAGTTCTGCTGTGACTTCCTCACGCAGTGCCAGCGGAATGTGGCGAAGCAGCTGAATGACTAGTTTAACTGTGGGATCCAAGAGAGGCTGGTGAGTGAATGCAGCCAAGCACCCAAAGCCTTTAAACAGCCTTGGCCATTCTTGTTGCCAGGGACAGCTGATAGTCAGAATTTGAGCCCCCTTATTGTCCAGCAGAGAAAAGTCCAGACTCATAATCAGGTCCAATCCAAGGAAATTGCTGCCATGGCGTGTATTGTGAAATGGGAAGTTGGGCCATACTGGACAGGAGCATGTATAAGACCAATAACATCGATTGCAGAACTTCTATATCCAAACAGATTCAGAGAAGGCAGCTGGAGGGGCAAGTGTGGCAGGAAACGTTCGTGAGTGGCCATATTGAGTAGCAAGACTTTAGCCCCTGTGTCCAGGAGCAGAGGAATACAAGGATCTGCTATATTAACAGGGCAAGTAGAAAAACCTGCTGAATTTGTGTTTATTGATTGAATAATGGCAGGGGTTGTAGCGTTAGCATATGGGTTTTGTTGTGTAGGAGCTTGAACTGGGGTAGACGGACACCATTTTGCAAAGTGGTTCAGCTTTTGACAGCGTCGACATGTTTGTCCCCATGCAGAACATTCAGGGTGCACGTGAGGAGTGTCCAGTGGACCCACAATTTCCACATCACAGCTGAACTTGAGGGTGTGCATATTGTATGTCTGCACTCAAAGATATATCTGCCTCTGCCCCGTGAACTTGTGTGCATTCTTGTATCATGTCCCCACTGCTCACACTTGATTCATGTGCTGTGTTTAATTTAGCAGCACACTGTGCTGACTCAGTTTGAGAGGCCAGAATTACTGCTTTCTCTAAAGTGAGATCATCATCTTCCAATTACAGCCTCTCCAGGACGAGTGTATTGCTTGTTTTGTCAATTAACTGATCTCGTATAATCTCATCTGATAAAGTACAAAAACAGCATGTTTTTGCCAGCCCTCTTAAATCAGCGACATATTGAGCAATTGACTTACCAGCATGCTGTCTGCGCTGTCGGAACTGCAGCCGTTTCAGCAGAGATACGCCAGGATGGGGCAAAAAGGGGCTCGTGGGAGATAACGACAGCACGGGGAAATCATCAGCCATCCTCGTCGCCAATTGTTCTGTCTGTAAAGATGACTCGTACTTGAACTTATTTTACTTTTTATTGCTCTCATCAACTTCCCTCACATCACTGAACTGCGTGAAAACATTCTATCATCAACGTCATTACTCACTGCGAACTCTTAAAGTGACCGGCGTTCTTTACATCTTATTAATGTAACAAACACATTACTTTAATGAAACATCAAAATATAAGTAAATATAACTAAACATGCAACAGTAACTTTTGTACTGGACTTTTTAAAAAGTTAAATTTAACTGTCTGGAAACAAAAGAGGATTCACAACCTGTCTAAATATTTTCACCCTTGTCTATTTATGTACATAATACAAAAGTATAAACTATTTATTAATTGGCTTCTAAGTAAGATATGTCAACATTCAAACCAGTGGACAAACTCCAGTCCTCAGGACTTATTTGACACATCTGATTTAGAACATCAACTCGTTAGGTGAGACCTCCATGAAACGAACAGATAAAAGAGACATACAAAATGTGCAGAGCCGTGGGATCTGAGGACTGGAGTTGAGAACTAATGATTTAAACCACTTTGAAGTGTTTTTGTGCGAAGAACACAATTTCAAGCCGCATTTGAAGGAGCCTTCAAATTGGGACAGCCTTCGTTGCACTAATATGGCACATTCGGTCTTTGAATGCAGCCTTCGAAGGATGTAGACTTTGAGATGGGACACAGCTATAGTGGTTGTTCTTTGCAGCACAAGCATCAGCTGCTGCTAATTAACTGCACGGCAAGCAGCATAAGGGAGAGAGACAGAAAGCAAGTGGCAAAACACACATGTATATTATACATCCCCAGGACATAACAACATGATTACATGAATATAAGCTACATTATATCATACAAAGATGCTTTATTAGTAACCATTAAAATATATATGGGCTACTGAGAGTGTGAAGAGTGTGTCATTGTTCTTTAAAGGTTGTGGAAGTGTGGTGTCACAGATGAAGGTTATGCTGCTCTGGCTTCAGCTCTGAGATCAAACCCCTCACACCTGAGAAAACTGGATCTGTCTGAGAATAAACTAGGAGACTCTGGAGTGAATCCACTCTCTGATGTACTGGAGAATCCTGACTTTAAACTGGAGAATTTGAGGTAAGTTCATCTCTGATAGTCACATGAACTGGTGCAAAGAGACATATATTTAAATAGCTTATAGTCAGACCAAATGTAAACTAATGAAATAAAAAAATAATATACAAGCAAACCTGCACTAACAATAAACATGATGAAAAAATAGGTGCAGAAAGATGAGCAAAATGAAGACTATTCATTTCTGATATCTGAAGAGAAATATCATTTAATTCACATTTATATTGATCAAATTAATCTTTTCTCGGTGTCTGTCTTCATCTTTAACACTGTGAGTGCAAACCTGATTAGATGAATAACAGCTACATTATATCATGCAGAGATGCTTTATTAGTAATCTTTAAAACACATATGGGCTACTGAGAAAGTGAAGCGTGTCATTGATCTCTACAGGTTGAGTTATTGTGGTGTCACAGATGAAGGTTGTGCTGCTATGGCTTCAGCTCTGAGATCAAACCCCTCACACCTGAGAAAACTGGATCTGTCTGGGAATAAACTAGGAGACTCTGGAGTGAAGCTGCTCCCTGATGTACTGGAGAATCCTCACTGTAAACTGGAGAATTTGAGGTAAGATCATCTGGTGCTCAGAGAGACATATATTTTTTTAATAGTTTATAGTGAGACCAAATCAGAGTGTTTGGGACTGTATTTAACATATAATAATATTACATTAATCACATTCAACGTAATCACGGTTAATGTTTTTGATAGCTGAAGCTAAAGCTGATTTGATTTATCCTCACTCTCCTTCACTCTCATCACATCACATCAGTGGCAAGGCTACATAAGGCCATGGTGGCGCTCAGGGGTGGATCTATTGGGGTGGCAACTGCCACCCAAAGAAAAAGCTATGCCACCCCACCTGCCACTCCAGAGTTATCACAGAATAAAATATAAATGTAAGCAGTGTTTCATGTGCTACCTTTCAGCCGCACCAAATTGTCCGTCCCTAACATTTGTGTCTCATTTTTATTCGTTGACAAAAATGTGAATAGTTTTTATCATTCAAAACGAGTTTTTATTTCGTTATCGTCTTGTTTTCGACAGTGAAAAATGTCATTCGTTGACCAAATTAACTATGCTCTTGGGAAACTTCAGTGCAGCAGAAATTTTTTGTAGCCTTCCCCACTCTGTTGCCTTGCAACAATCCTGTCTCTGAGCTCTGCAGGCAGTTCCTTTGGTTATTGCACTAATATGCATGGTTGGCGGTGAGGTCTTTTATAGAGAGTTGTGTGCCTTTCCAAATAATGTCCAATCAATTTAATTTACCACAGGTGGACTCCAATCAAGGTATAAAAACATCTCAGTAACGATCAAGAGAAGTGGGAGGCACCTGAGCTAAATTTCAAGTGTTGTCGCAAAGGGTCTGAATACTTATGTAAATGTGATAATTCCTTTTTTTTTATACATTTACAGACATTTCTAAAATTCTGTTTTCACTTTGTCGTTATGGGGTACTGAGTGTAGATTAATGAGAATAAAATGAATTTAAATGATTGTAGAATCAGGCTGCAACATAACAAAATTGAAAACGTGAAGGGGATCTGAATACTTTCTGAATGCACTGTACATACAGTCTACACTTTGTTATAATGAGAGGATTTACTAGCATGCACGACTCAGCGCTGGATAAAAACTGACTTTAAGCGGTGAATGGATTCTAACTTAAGCACCTCTGATTGCTCATTGTATTCAAGAAATCAACAGACATGTCCATGATTGGCTACATTGCTCACTTCTGCAAAACATACTGTAAATTGAAACCTTTGATGCTTCACCTATGATTATTTATCTTAGTTTATTGTTCTTATTTTGTTCATTGATTATTTTATGAATGGATTTTAATAAATCACATTTAACTAATCTTAATTGTCATTATTTTTATCTCATGTATTGTAAAATGATGTAATCTGAGAAGCAGGCATTGAGGTCGGCACTATTTCACCAAGGTCCACTCACTTTAAATGTACTGTCCTCCCCTCTGCATCACACGACACCTTTGTTGGAGACTGATTTACACACAGCAAAACTAAACTAATAAAATAAAAATAGTACACAAACAAATAAAATGCTATCAATAAACATGAGGCCCATTTCAGAAAGGAGGTTAAGTTAAAACTCTGAGTATGTTAACCCTGAAATTAGATAAACTCTGGGTTTTCTGTTTCAGAATGGGAGGTTTGTCAAACCCGAGAAAGCAGGGTAAGTCAAACCCGTTTCTGAAAGAGAGGTAACTTATACTCAGAGTCAGTTACCGTGGTAACTTACTCTGTGAAGCTAACCTGGTCCGGAGCAGGAATTTAACTACATTTTGCCTAAAACAAGTAAAATGATCTGCCGATGGGGTAAGACAATTTATCTTAATGTAAATGGAAAAACGGGGGGGGAAATGCACTTAAATTAATTAACTTTTTTTTTTGTTGGCATATCCACATGCATATTTATTTGAGCAGTACCATTTTTAAATGGTAGTTTTCTGTATAACATCGGGGATGCAGAGCACATTAGTAAGGCTGCTGTATGCAATGGTAAGTAAAGTGTGAGTCGCTCTCACGCTCTTTCTGAGAATTGTTGAGTTGTTTCCTGGGCACAAACCCATCAAAGAGGAGTTTCACAGGACTGCAGGTCAATAGTGTAGAAATCTGTTTAAATGAGGCTAATCTAATAAATGACGTTCACTTAATAACATCTTGCTGCGACCTCTGGAAGTAACCTAATAATTAAAATTCAGTGTTAGTTCTGACAGGTCATGTTAGTCAAGCTCGCATCAGCTAACTCTCAGCTGATCCACGTCTAGGTAGGACTATGACGCCTATCACAGCATTCTATACAAGGTCCATTCAGTATTATGCATTGCTCACAAGCTAATTAGATGGCGAATTCTGTGGGCAAAAGCATATCATTTCAATAGGAATTGTGCAATCAGGGATTTACAAGAGGATTTAGTTCCCAGCGCAGATTCAGGTTTGTCAACTTGATACACAAATTCGCCACGTTAATCATAAACTGTTTGATTTGGAAGTGACCTGAGTGAACTCTTTGCCAACAATCTCGCTGAAGTTATACTGTATGACTTCTCAAGAACAAGTTCAGACGAGATCCGCACTACCCACATGAAGGAGAAGGGAATCATTCATCCACATCACAGCTGGCTATATATTTCACTCTCCATTCATCTCTGTTTGTCTTCACAAAGCTAGGCTAAGTTTCCTTTTTATGCTTATTGTTTAAAAGCTATCAGGTTATTGACAACAAGCTTGTTACTCAGAGGTGGGGGACTCGAGTCACATGACTTGACTCGAGTCAGACTTAAGTCGCAAATTTTAGGACTTGAGACTTGCTTGACAAATATTCATAAAAGACTTGAATTGACTTGACTCGGACTTGAGTTAAATGATTTGAAATAACTTGTCTTTCGTTCAATAAATATCTGTTTGTTTTTGGACGTACTGCAACCAAACCAAGTGACGCAGCAGGCAAGCAGAGAGCACTAACGTAAGAGCATGGTTAGGTTAGGTTACTTTATTCATACCCGCAGGTAAATTTGTGTTGCAGTAAAATGACAGTGACATCCATAACACAAATTTAAAAAACACATTTAAAAATATAACACAACAGATAAACAAAAATAT